CCGCGGCTTGTGTACTGCATCATCACTGTGTCTGTCACGCTACTGTTGCCCTTTCGGCTCGAACTGATGGTAAAACTAACAACATTATTAACTGTCTTGACATTTACTATGAAAGCTGAAGCTTGCGATTATGGTAAGGGGCGTTACATTTCCGACACTTGCTTGTGGTGTTCGGCCAATCACAATGCACTGGGTCAGCTGGCCAATCAGAGCAGACTGCGCTTGTCAACGGAGGGGGCTTTGTTGAAAACAACGCGTTTGAGAGAGGCGGGGCATAGAGGACCTACAATAATGTACAGTATTTGAAAAATAATGTGTTTTTTGAACATTAAAGCATGTCAACATATTCTGTTACACCAAATAATGATCTTTAAAATAGCATCATATGACCCCTTTAAGAGTGTATGAATGGTATTACGTTAGATAATAAAATATCAAAACAATTGGTATTTATAAAAAAATAATAATATGTTTCAAGCTTCACAAAAATAAATGTTAGGATGTAAACTAAAAAGGAGGGGGGGGGGGGTTAATTGAGTGCAGTTTGCTTTGCAAAAATGAATTCATACAGGTTTGAAGCAACATGAGGGTGAGTAAAAAATTATTTTAATTTTTGGATGGACTATCCCTTTAAAGAAGTCAGATTTTGCTTCTGTCAAAGGTGACTCAAGCATGAAGCTTAAAATCTTGTGTAAAACTTTTAAAGGTGGATTTTGGCTTTGCCAAGAAGATCGGCTTTGGAAAGAAGACGTGGACATTCTGTGGTACACCAGAGTATGTGGCTCCAGAGATCATCCTGAATAAAGGTCATGACATCTCCGCAGATTACTGGTCCCTCGGCATCCTCATGTATGAGCTGCTGACTGGCAGGTCAGACACAGGGCTTCACGTCTTTGAAAACACCATTTCAAACTGATTAAACATTATTAATTTATTAAGACTTTGGATTTATACTACACATGCAATGGTTTTTAAATCCTCTTTATTTTTCAGTCCTCCTTTTTCAGGACCGGATCCAATGAAAACGTACAACATCATTCTTAGAGGCATCGACATGATAGAATTCCCCAAAAAAATTACAAAAAATGCTGCCAATCTCATCAAAAAGCTATGCAGGTATGTCCATCACTATAAAACCCATTGACTGTCTATTAGCGGCTCTTGTTAATTCTCTTTTGTTCTTCTCAGAGACACGCCGTCTGAAAGACTAGGAAACTTGAAAAACGGTGTCAAAGACATCCAGAAGCACAAGTGAGTTGGATATTCATTTTAAAACATGAACCTTGAAAAATGAGCTGATATAGTTCTGTGAATCATCTCATGTAATGAACGTGTTTGCAGATGGTTTGAAGGGTTTAACTGGGACGGATTGAGGAAGGGGACACTGATGCCCCCCATCATCCCTAATGTAAGTGCTTACGCTCATGCAAGGCAGATTTTACACTGATGTTAGGCCAGAAACATACTCTATGCACGTACTGTATGCATTACAGGGTTTGCAATGGTCACAAATCTTAACTGGATGTGTTTTTACTCAGATCGCTAGTTATAAACGTCTGAATTTAGCAAACTTGCTTTGGTCTCTACGAACATTGCTTGGGGGAAAAAATTAAAAATGTAAGAGATGTATGTACATTACTTCTTAACAGTTTGGAGTAAAAAAAATTTTTTTCTTGAAATAAATTAATACTTTTATTCAGTAGGGATGCATTAAATAATTCAAAAGTGACAGTAAATATATTTATAATGTTACAAAAGATTTATATTTCAAATAAATGTAAAAAAAAACAAATCACCAAATCAGCATATTAGAATGATTTCTGAAAGATAATGTGACTCTGAAGACTGGAGTAATGATGCTGAAAATTCAGCTTTGCATCACTGGAATAAATTACATTTCTAAAATAAATTAACTTCGAAAATAGTTAAACAGCAATATTATTTCACAATATCACTGTTTGTATTGTATTTTTAATCAGTTGGTGAGTATTAGTGAAGTGACATGTGGCCAAGTATGGTGACCCATACTCGGAATTAGTGCTCTGCATTTACCCATCCTAAGTGCACACACACAGCAGTGAACACACACAAACCGTGAACACACACCCGGAGCAGTGGGCAGCCATTTATGCTGCGGCACCCGGGGAGCAGTTGGGGGTTCGGTGCCTTGCTCAAGGGCACCTCAGTCATGGTATTGAAGGTGGGAGAGAGTGCTGTACATTCATTCCCCCCACCTACAATCCCTGCCGGTATGAGACTCGAACCCACAGCCTTTGGGTTATGAGTCCGACGCTCTAACCATTAGGCCACGACTTCCCCCTTTAGACTTTCAGAAACATTTAAAAATGACCAACCCAGACCTTTGAATGGTAGTGTATAACTCAAATGCTAACAGATTATAATTTTTTTTTTTTGTGGTCATGCAGGTAACATCATCCACGGACACCAGTAACTTTGACAGCTTTCCAGAGGACAATGAAGACCCACCACCTGATGATAACTCAGGCTGGGACACAGACTTCTAAACAGGCCTAAATACACACACGTGCACACATACACAACACTGCTCACATGGGATGTCTGCCTGGGATAGACATGCTGCACTACAGGATGGACTGGAAGGGAAATGTGGGAACAAGCAGAGAAGAGGTGAATGAAATTAAGTAACTCTAAAAGGACTGACGAGACCCGGAGACAAAACATGAATCTCTTACGTGAGCATGTGTCTGTGTGCGTGTTCACCACTGACCCATGATAACCACCTTTACTGTGAGATGACTGAGGAGACAGTCCATTTAGGGAAAAGCTTGTGACCTCAGTGATTTGTTCTTCTCCCTGATTGGCTGTGAACTCTTCATTCACCAATCCGTGTGCAAACTACTCTAAAAAAAGACCACACTGTATGTCGCAGGAGTCCAGACAGACCTGAATGTTGCTCTTAAAGTAATACTCGTTCATTATAGCACATGTACATAATAGCATAGTATCACTACCCTGAAAAACTGACGCATATGCCGGCGTTCCTGACATGTATCGGATTATCTGTCATGTGCATTATAATACATCAATCGTTAGACTCAGTTTCACCTTCTTCAAGCACACACAGACATCATAGATGCATCTTCTCGCTGATAATTTATTGTCCTGGCGGACGGCCATTATAGTTTATGATATTCTGAACCCAGTGCTGGTCTTCTCAAACTTCATCCCATGAAATGATGTGCCTCAAATTCATAGCTACATTAATAGTGTACTGTATTTATTGTCTCAGATTTATAAGAATTAGGAGATAAGTACTGACCACTGTGAAGGGCCGGATTTTAAACAGGAACAGAGTGTCATTAAAAGAGGAACGGATGTGGGATTGGTTTGCCTTCTATGGCCATTTCTTAAAACCAACTAATTCAAAAGCAAGTACAACATAATCCTGATTTCTCCAGAAATTCAGCCGTATCAGATCAACAGTATTAGTGCCTTAAATCAACGGCATTCTGCGACGCTCCTCATGCTGCATGTCAGAATACAATCCCCTCAGCCTGCTGCTGTCCATCAGATGCTCTGTCTAGGTTTTTTTTGTTTTTGTTTTTTTACGCAATAAAGCAACTGTTTTAGACACTCCCTTGTGTCCTCACATGATCTTCCACGGTCTTTTATGCATCTGAAATGTGAATTGTTTTAGGGTTTGTTTTTTTTTTTTATTCCAAAATGAACATTCTGTCCTGTTTATTCATCCTCATGATGTTACAAACTTATATGACTTCCTTTGGAACACACAAGTCTCTTCTTGTGTTCTAAAAATGCTTTTTAAAAGGTTTTTGAAAGGTGTCTTAAGCTCACCAACAATGCATTTATTTAATTAAAAATACAGTCAAATATGATTTGTATTATATACAGTGGGTACGGAAAGTATTCAGACCCCCTTAAATTTTTCACTCTTTGTTATATTGCAGCCATTTGCGAAAATCATTTAAGTTCATTTTTTTTCCTCATTAATGTACACACAGCACCCCATATTGACAGAAAAACACAGAATTGTTGACATTTTTGCAGATTTATTAAAAAAGAAAAACTGAAATATCACATGGTCCTAAGTATTCAGACCCTTTGCTCAGTATTTAGTAGAAGCACCCTTTTGATCGAATACAGCCATGAGTCTTTTTGGGAAAGAGGCAACAAGTTTTTCACACCTGGATTTGGGAATCCTCTGCCATTCCTCCTTGCAGAGCCTCTCCAGTTCTGTCAGGTTGCTGTGCATAATTTATTATATTTTGAAATGTAATTTATTTCTGTGATTCAATGCTGAATATTCAGCAGCCATTACTCTAGTCTTAAGTGTCACATGATCCTTCAGAAATCGTTCTAATATGCTGAGTTGCTGCTCAAATACATTATTACTATTATTATTATTTAATGAATATATTTATTTGAAGCTTGACAGTACATGGTCTTTCGTTATATAGAAAAGCATGATCAGGACATTTTTTATTTATTTCACCATTTCATAAATCCTGAGGGTGAGTAACTGATATTTTACTTTTTGGGTGAACTGTTACTTTAAGGGCATGAAGCTGCTGGGTCTCTCAGATGTGATCTTACAGCTGTGTGATATGATGCCTTCAGTGGCAAAGCAATTTATCTTGATCACATTTAGATACTTCATTCTCAACACTACTACAGGCTGTGTATTTGTACAGTGTGCTACATTCCATCTGTATTTAAAGTTGTAAATGATTGTAGTGAGTAAAGTTCAGGGCTGGAAATCCAAATGTTGCTGGTTTGATACCTCAGATGATATACTGTAAGTCACTCTGGATATGTCTAAAAATGGATAGGTAAATCTCACAAAACATACACTGGTTATATTTCACTCAAAAAATCAAAAGAATGAATATAAGAAATTAAATTCTGGAAAAGGAAATGTAATGCCTTTAGGACCATTAAGATTATTAAATCATTTGTTTGTATATTTATTTTGCATTATGACATTTTCATAACCAAGTACATTACTGGATATGCATATGAATGTTTTACTTTTGATGCGTGTTCTCCATGAACACTATACAAGTCAAAAGTTAAGATTTGTAATATTTTTAATCAAGTCTCTTATTGCCATATTTGATTTAAAATGCAGTAAAACCGTAATATTGTGTAGTATTATTACAATTTAAAATAACAGTTTTCTGTTTTAATATGATCTAAAATTTAATTTATTAACCTATTTCTGAATCTATATCTATCTATCTATCTATACAGTATATAAATATATATATATAAAACTGTTGAACAGTTGTCCTGCTTAATATATCCATGAAAACCATGACAGTAACCCCATTTATAATGTTTTCAATTTATTTATTTCTCCAATAAATACTATTCTTTTGAACTCTATATTCATCAAAGGATCCTGAAAAATGTATCACTGTTTCCACAAAAATCTTAAGCAGCAAAAACTGTTTTCAACATTGATAATAATAAGGACCATCATTAATAATTGAGTATCAAATCAGCATATTAGAATGATTTCTGAAAGATCATGCAACACTGAAGATTGGAGTAATGATGTCTTTAAAAGTCTTTACGATCACTTTTTATCCATTTAACACATTCTTGCTGAATAAAAGTATTAATTTCTTTTTTTAATTACTGAATACAAACTTTTGAATAGTAGTGTATATTGTAACACTAAATTTCTATTTTTAATAAACACTGTTCTTTTTTAACTTTTTATTTATCAAAGAATCCTGAAAACATATTACAGGTCCCCAAAAAATATTGGGCAGCACAACTGTGTTCAACATTGATAATAATCTGAAATGTTTCTTGAGCAGCAAATCAGCATGTTAGAATGATTTCTGAAGATGATGTGACACTTAAAACTGGAGAAATGATGCTGAAAATTGCTTTGCTCAATAGGAATAAATTATATTTTAAAGTATATTATAATAGAACATTTTTATTTTAAATTGCAATAATATTTCACAATATTATTTTGTGAAATAATATTCAGTATTTTTATCAAATAGATACAGCCTTGATGAGCATAAGAAACTTCTTTAATAAACATTATTGATCCCAAACTTTTGAATGGCAGTGTATTATACTGTAAAAAAAAAAGTTTTCTCAGGTAACCTAAAATGTACATCATTTAGTCACGGGTCAAATTAAATATAAATAGCACATTAAAGTTAAAAGTTACACACTTTTTTGTGCGCGCGCTGTACAGGTCTGGTATAAAGAATGTTTTTGCTCAGGTGGCCGAAATGTCCGCCCAATAGAGAAAAGTTTCGCTCAGCAAGAAAAACAAATTAGAGGGAACATTGCTGTTGAGCAGTAGTGTATAGTAGGGCTGGGTAAAACATATTGATATCTCTACGGAATGATATCGATTCTTAAATCCTAAGAATCGATTAGTCTAGCCTGTTTTCAGTTAATGGACGGAACATTAAGGGCACTTCCCATCCAATATATCACAATAAGCATTGTGCGTTGGTACTTTTAATATGAAAAAGTCTCAAGATTTCAAATTCTGTCCATTGTATTGTAGTATTCAAACAATAAATGCCATTTTGGCGCTGTTTAATGTGGAGTGACAGATCGCTGGAGGCACGCGTGAACTGATCATCTCCACATTAATACCAGTTTCAGCACAAAATAAACATGACTAAACATCCGAAGGTAAGTTAAAAGAAAGAGTACAACTTTACAATCTGTATCATGTCTCATATAATCGCTCAATCAGTGTTTCAGCCGCGCAAAGACGTCAGTATACATATATGTATATACAATATGCGTCTTGTAAACAATGTCAAGTAACGTCATATTTACCTCAGAAAAACATATTGGGTGACCATAAACTCATTAGTCAGATAGAAAAATAAACTGTAGAGAGAGGCAGTTTGTTAAATATGTGCACCATATAACATATTCATTATAAATTTGACTGTTATTCAATGTTTAATTTATGTTTGAATAAATCAATCATCTTTTTATGACAGCCACCATTGTTTATATTTAAAAAAATGAATTGAAGTAGAAATATTATTATGTAATTGTAACTTTATTATTTTAAAAACTTCATTGTGTAATTTAAAAAAATCAGTCCAATTTAACCTTCAGTATTATAATAATGTAGTGCCAACTGACTCTCATGTATATTTTACAGCATTAGTTGAGAGATTTTTGTTTCCATGAGAAAATTTGGTGTGTACTGTAGGCCTACCTGATATATATAATCAATATCGAATCGGTAATCAAATCGAATCGCAAGCTTGTGAATGCGAATCGAATCGAATCGTGAAATTTGTATCAAAACTCAGCATATTCATTATAAATTTGACTGTTATTCAATGTTTAATTTATGTTTGAATAAATCAATCATCTTTTTATGACAGCCACCATTGTTTATATTTAAAAAAATGAATTGAAGTAGAAATATTATTATGTAATTGTAACTTTATTATTTTAAAAACTTCATTGTGTAATTTAAAAAAATCAGTCCAGTTTAACCTTCAGTATTATAATAATGTAGTGCCAACTGACTCTCATGTATATTTTACAGCATTAGTTGAGAGATTTTTGTTTCCATGAGAAAATTTGGTGTGTACTGTAGGCCTACCTGATATATATAATCAATATCGAATCGGTAATCAAATCGAATCGCAAGCTTGTGAATGCGAATCGAATCGAATCGTGAAATTTGTATCAAAACTCAGCCCTAGTCTATAGTCCCTTTGCTATATTACAAATATACTCCTGTTTCAGTTGAAATTACGTCACCACATAGCATAACGCTGCGTGTTTCAAGGCACTTCAGTGTACATTTAAATACACATTTTTTACATTACAGTAATGTGAATTGGACAGGCAAATAACACATAATATATATGGCTTTAAATGTCCTAAACACTTCATTTATAATATTGTTGGAATGAAATATGACCAAAACATGTTCCTGTCAAGTTTCATGAGTCTTACATATTTCCCCTGCTCTCCTCTCTAAACGCGTCCTTGATGAGAGAACACGGGTAGGACCTCAAATTTGATTATTTTCCGCAATTAAATTATTATTTGTCTGGCATCACCAGAGGATATGATGATGATGATCTGCTGTTTTCACACAGAAAAGGACATATAGCCTATCTTCTTACTCTGGAGAAATAAGTCTCCCAAACACAGAGCTTGGAAATTAGTTTCATGGTAAGTTCACTGTGCAGTCAGGCAGATACATTCAGCCTCAAAACATAAATAAAATCACATATTCATTTGTTCCATCATTAATGGATCTGCATATAATGGCAATAACCTTACTGAAACTAACAACAGCAGCAAAAAGGTTTAATGGTATTTTTTGTTTTATTTATTTTTTCTGTAGTGACACACTAGGCCTATCACTTGTCGTATTCATTAATGTCCCATGTATGAACTAAAATTTAATTTATCTGCAGTAAAATCTCACGTCGAGTGCCTCTACAAAAAGTTATGCTGCTGAAATAAAGAGAAGCCGCCTTTAAACATTCTGAACCTCATTTCTGTATTAAAGGCAGAGTAAGTGATTTCTGGTAGCCAATGCTGACATTTGAAATCACCAAAACAAACACGCCCCTACCCCAAAAGCGCCTTGCCCCT